ATGTTATTTTATTCCCTTTCACCTGGCAGAAAATTTATATAGGAGACAACACAACCAAAATTTATAATGCTACAGAAAAAGCAGTTCATTATGTATTTCTACAAGCACGAAGACATTATTAATTACATTCACTCCTATCAGGTTTTATACCTGTACTGGGGTGCTGCATGGGTGTTTTCAGGGGTGGGAACCACACTGTGCTGCTGGTAGCCTTCACACGGCTGCTCTGAAGCCACCTTGGTTACAACTGCATGGCTCCTTTTGATTATAGTATAGACATGTGCAGAACTGTCCCTCATTCCCAGAGCATTCCCTCATTTCCCTGGGGTGAAACATTTATGCTTCTTATCTGATGCTGAGCTGACTATTTCCATAATTCTTAAAGGCTTTGTAATGCAACTGTAGAAAGTGCGCAAGAGATGGGGTTATTGTTGCTGCTGCATTCTCTCTAAGGCCGTTCCCCCTCCGTGTTATCTTGTGCCCATGGTAACACACTGTAAAATGGCATCCCATGAAAAACAGCTGATTGCCAGTACTGCTTGATAGCTACGAGGAATCATGAAAGCTAATAAAAAATGATTCACATTCACTCTCTCCACCTTTAAACCAGCTGTTTAAAAGAAAAGGGGGCCAAATTGAAAATGAGCATCAGCATTTACAACCCTGGTGAAGCCAATAAAGTCACACCTAGGAGGACAAGGTCTCCATTTGATTTCAATTCATACTGCACAGGGGAAGCAGAGGGTGCAGCAGCATTATCATAACTTTTCATTAATCTCAGTGGGCAACCTGTTCAGCTAACAAGACACATGCTAGCAGAATGCCAGTCTGGTGATAACCTGGAGAAGGCACCAAGGAAGAAATTGCCTTACTAAATGTCTGTGACTGGTGGGGTTGCTGCTACTGTGATGAGAGCAGGAGGGAGGCAGGCTGTGTGTGGAGAGGGCACCTTCCTGCTGCTCCACACAATGGGGAGGAATGGGAAATCCTCTACAGGGTGAGCTGTAGGCAAATGAGCTTGCTGAGCTCTTCTCAGAGCAGGTTGGAGGGAAGCCAGCTGCAACTGAAGAGACAATTAAGAGCAATAACACACTGCTCAGGTGAAGTTAGTGTATGCTTCCTCTCAGGGAGCAATATCTCTATGAACAGCTTCAGCAAGGCAGAACAAATATTTATTTGTCTGGGGTCTTCCAGGGAGACTGTTTGGAGGAAGGGGTTACTGGGGACTGGAGGTAAAATTGCGTTTTGGCCTGTGAACCTTAGATGAATTACACCAACCCAAACTCACTGTGTTAGACAACTAAAATGATGTGAGTCGTGTTTTTCTTTTCCTCTAGAGAAACACACAACATGTTAACCTGACCCATTTACAAATAAAGCAGCTAAATAGGAATATAGTGAAAGCTTGGGACAATCTAAGCTAGCATGTGGTACAGTTAGTGTTTACAACACTCATTAGGAAGGTAAATGATGCCTAAAACCATTTTCAAGAGACTTATCAGAGGAAATTTTTCTTTGTGGACTATATCAAAATATAACCTAACATTACAAAAGAACCTCTCTGTTAAATGGTGATACCACAGCAGAGTGAAAAGTATTCAGAGCTCACTCACAAAAATAAAGTGAATATTTTACAGGTACTTTCTATTATGAATGCTTACCAAAAAAAGTTAGATCATAAATTAGATTTTTGTGTTTTTGTTTGATAAACCATCTGTAAGAGTAATGCTATGTAATAATTAATAAATATGCAGTGAGCTAGTATTGTATTTCAAGGTATATCGATCATATTATGAGACTGGTAATTTATGTATGTTTATTATGATTAACAGAACTGTGTTCAGGTTGTTGCATTTTCCGTCTGAGCCAAATTAACTTTCTCTTTCTAAAGTTGTTGAAGATGAACATTAAATATACAGAAGTTATCAGTGAATATGCTCCTCTAAAACCCTCTTCACTCCTGTGTCAAATCAAGCATATTTACTATAAGCGAGTCTTGAGAATTAAGTGTTATTGACAGTTATGGACATAATATACCCAAAGGGGAAAAACCTGAACTTAGTAACAGTGAGCAATACCAAGCAACTTCCACTGAGCACAAGATTAAGCAGGGCTTCATGAACTTCACTGAGAGCACATATATGTATAAAAGGTAGAACATGAGAGCAGCTTTGCTGGAGATTGAGCTCAAAGAGATACTGTTTTTCAAGTTAATGAGAAAATAAGTTTGGCTACCTTAAAGACATATCTTAACAAAATAATTAACTATAAATGACCTGCTGTACCACTATCAGAGAGTAGAGGGAGTCCAGTCTATAACTTCAGGGCACATGCAAAGAAAAAAAAAATAGCTGAAATAATGAAACAAATTCTATTTACACCAAAGTTTAAACACAGGTGGCTTGTTTTTGTTTTTCCCCCTTACATTTCTTCTCTGGGAGCAATTCAAATAATTGTATTTTATTGCCATAAGACTTGTTCCTGCAAACATTAAAAAGTGCATAGAAAAGGGTCTAGTTTCTTTCTAAAATATTCAGTGAAGAAGCTCACATTTTCTCCAAACAAGATGAAGGTCTTCCCTGACTAGAGCTTATAGATATGGACAGAAGCCTAAGAAAGGTGGTTAGTGTTTGACAAGGTAGATGCACAAGATAGAGGTTCATCCTGAAGATGCGTGGCCCAAGCCCTTTTGGGACACACCTTCAGGCCCCATTGACAGCACTGAGGTTGGCAAAACTGGAAGGTACTGAAAGAGAGATGATTGAATAGTACCAGACGATGAAAGAGCAGAGGTTTGAGGAATTGGTAAAGATGATAGGATGGAGGAGGTTTCCATGAAAATTTTGAGCTTTGTTTCAGTAGAAGCAAGTTCCTATAATGTATCAGCAAAGATTGTCCATCCAAACATAGACAGAGACAAGGTTGTGCAGTGTATTGGATTCCTTTCCGTTCAGTAAGGATATCCTCACAATACTTTTAATTTTCTATATGAATATTGTTAAACTTTGAGTTTGGTGCAAAACCCAGGCAATTTTACAGCTTATTCTGGACACTGCAATCCTCATCATGAAGTTATTATCAAGAAGGCATGAACAGTAATTGTGATAGAATGAGGTTATAATTGTAACTTGTTCTTTACCAGTTAAAAATTATACTCCTGTGATGTCTGTTTTGCGGTAACTGGGAGCTACTTTTTGACTTGGGAAACTTTCAATAATGGAGCTAAGAAGGAAATTACTGGACATTTCTTTGAACAGTAAGCTTCCTAGAAATGCAGGGAGAATGTCATATTCAGCAGGTTCACATATTTCAAAATGCTGTGTTCACCTGACAGTTCTTTCAATCATTTTTAGTAAAATACATCTGTAACCATTATGTAATCCCCCCACACCTGTAAATTATAATGTGGAATGTCATGATTTATTGCATAGCATAAAAGCTGTTAAATGAATACGGACAGCACCATTAGCGTTCTGATCTTGAACTGAAGTGCAAGTCAGCTCTGCTTAAGTCATCGTTCTCATGAGCCACAAATAAATGTGCAGTTAAAAAGGGTGCCATAGGTTAATCAGAGCTGAATTAGTAAAGAAAAATTAGTAAAGAAGTGAGCAATTTGGGAAATGACATGCTGAATCTCTTACTCTAACATCACTTTTCCTTAAGCAGCCAATGCCTGGTGCTAAAGACTCCAGAGTAAAGCAGAATACTAAAACATGGGCCAAAAACTTGATTCATTCTGAATGAACTAAGAGATATCGACACTATTCCAGCAGCTGAATCTTGTGCTCTGACTGCTCCCACCTACACCCGGTACCTTGTTCCCACTCCTGGCAAGCAGAGCTCAAGTGGGGTCCACACAGCCTGGACTCCTCTCTGACCGTTGCCTTCTGGGAAGAGTCCTGGTGAAAAGTAAAGTACAGATAACCAAATTAACTTAGCTAACAGTGTTCCTAATTTATCCCACTGAGAATCACCAACTACTGTTGTTCTGCCCTAAACCCCAGATTCCTTGATATCAACTTCTAGAAAAGAAAATAAGTCCTTCTGCTTGTGCGTTGCAATAAGATATTTAATTTGTATTCTTAACCTCTTCTGAGCTAACATAGTTTTATACTTTAAAAAGTCAGAAATCATCTTTTTCTGAAAATCACATTCAGTCTCATTTGTTCCCTATGCAATGCTCCCCATTTTGTTCTTTTTCTACACACTTAAACCAATTATTTTTTTCTTTAGTCATATAGAGACTACATATTGTCCTTTTTGGAGGGGAAAACTGGATGTCTGTCCCTAGAACCTTATGAATTCCATTGTATTATAAATATTTATCACAACTATTTTAATACTAGCAGCTGTGATCCTTTAACGTGCAGAGCCTGTTTTATAAAGAGCCAAGTGCTCTGTACCTCTTCCCAGTTTCCAAAAGGTTTGAGATTGCTCATGTTTGGCACTCTGCTGATGGGGCTCAGCATTCTTCAAGGAGAAACTGTTACTTCTTAATGAAGGATAGTTCTTTTCTCTCCCAGTATAGCTCTCATCCAAAGTTTAGACATTATTTGTACCTTTACTTGCATTTTTATCCAAGCTGTTTAGTCGAATCTATTTGTCTATCTGAAGAGGCCAGCAACATTCAAACTAAAACATAAACCACTCAACCTCCCAAACTGGTTGGTTTGTTTCTTCTTAAGCCACCCATAATAATTTACAGCTTCTGTAAGAATCTCCAAATTCAACGAGTGTATTTTGTGTATGGTCATTTACTAACTTTTTTCCCCTTAGGTGAACCCAGGACACCCCAAAAGGGGAATATAATTTTTTTTTTTTTTTAAATGAAGTTAAAACAAAGTTTACCTTCTTTTATTCCCCATTACTTACAAAAATATACTTCAATAATTCCAAACTAACATACTTAAGCTGAAATAACTGTTAAATAAAAAAAGAATACTTTTTTGGTGTGCTGAGGTATTCCTCATTCCAAATGAAATGTTTCTTTTCTCATTTAGAACTCCAAATGGGACTGTGATTAATGGAACAAGATGGCCAGTCTTCACCAGTACTGAACAAAAATATTTGACATTAACTACCAACACTTCAGAGATACTGACAAAATTACGTGCTCAGCAGTGTCGATTCTGGAATATTTTTTTCCCCAAAGTCCTGGAAATCACAGGTAAAAATGCTTTTACAGATGCTTTTATTTAAACTTTTATACAAGGATCATTTGCTTGATATTAACATGATACTCATTTAAATCTTTACATTCCTATTTGTAACTGAATTTCCACGAGATGTTCAGATGTTGGACAAAACCATCCATGTTGTTGTGGGGGTGTACCCTGCAACATGCCTTATGCTTCTGGCCATGGGCTTACCACCCTGTAGCACCCTGTTATGCACTAGGATAAAACCTGGGGACAGGACAAGGCCCAAGACTTGTGTGGTGTGGAGCTTCTCTGCCCCAAAGTGCAGGTACAGCCACAATGTGAGACATTGTAGAGTGCCTCAAATCTCTGTTCTCAAGCTACCCACTGTGCGGGTCAGCACTGCCTGACTCTGGATTGCTGGGGTACTACAGAGAGCAGGAAAGACATGGCTGAAGTGGGAGCTCGCACTGGGATTTCTGAAGGCTTTAGATGTTCTGTATAAACTTCCTGTATCTAAGGTACATTGTGGGGTATTATATTGGGATTCTATTATTTATGGGATTATATTATTATGCAGCTAATCCACAGAGGATATTAAGTGTGATGCTACTGCCAAAAGGGGATTCTGTTCTACATCTCACGTGAGAGTGCCTTGTGTTTTTTTTCCTAGAGTGTCAGTCATTGATGACAACCAAGAAACTTCAGGATTTGCCTATGCAAAATAGAATTTCTTTGTGCCTGACTGTGTATACAATGTGTTTATGAGATTTCACTACCCAGAAAAATATACCAGGCTGTTTGAAACTTTAAGCTTAATTGAACGCAAAGGACTCAGATTTTCTTTAGAAGCCCAATGCCACTGTTTTTGCAAAGCCCACCAGACAGACCAAGCCTCTGTGCTTCTGGACTTCAAAAAGAATTGATTTCATGAAGTGATTTTGCAGCTCTGGAACTGCATTCTGCAGTTTAAAGTGTGTTGGGGGGAGAGGGGGGGGGCAGAGGTCTCATTTCAAAAATAAGATACACTTTTTAAATGTTAATTACTAATTTGCAAGCTTTCTGTAAGTTTCAGTTTGAATGTTAGTCTTAAAAATATGTAAACTTTCATGGTGCACAGATGATTCTTTCTGAAATAATTATTCCTTTCTCATTTGAGCCTATAACTGTATTATGGCTCAACTTTTATCCCCTCTCAATTCAATAGATGTGTTTCAATTAAATCAAGAGAAGTAAAATCAGTAGGAAAAATGAATAATTTATAAAGCATGCTCTATGATTTTAAAATCACAGTATACCAAATTATGGATGGATTTGAGGGAGTTTTCTTGAATTCTGACAAGCCCTTTATGGTGAGCCAGAACTGAACTATTTTACATATTTCTTTAGCCTGGCTGTGAAACTCTGAGTAATGTGCATCTTACAAATGGACTGTGCATAACCAAATGCTCTGTGGCGGAGCAGAAGAGAGCACATCACCAGACATAGTTCAACACATCTTGGCAGGACAGCAGAGTTGCTTTGCATGGTCCTGTGGTGTGAGGGATGACAAAGCAACACTCTGGATCTGCCAGGAAACAAATACATCATTTTGCCATATTCAGTAATTTACAACATAAATTTACATAATTTAATTAAAAGAAATTCCTGAGCATATTCCTAGCAAAAGGAACGAATCTTAGTGCCTGGATCCTAATATAGAAATGAGACAAGAATATTGTCAAGAAGTAGTGCCGTTTTGTCATGTATCTAAATCTATCAGTCCTTGAAATATTGTAACAGAAATACCATCTTTTTAAATTTATGTTCTCTATAAAATCTTATACAATTCTGACAAAGAAACCTTTAAGATTCTGCTTGCAAACATGATATAATACTTCATATTGTAATAATTCTCTTCACTGAAATATTATTTTGCATATCCTATCTCCTTTTATGCCCAAAGGACAGTGCATGCCATAAACACACGTATTTCCTCATTTTCTGAGGGTCTATCTTTTCTATTACTTCTTCCATTGAAACATTCTTAGAAAAAGAAGGTTGCTTTAATATGATATAAGATGACAGAGAACAAGGAGTAAGGAAGTTTTATGTTATCATTATTGAAAGTTATAGTTCAAGTAGGGTTCAGATAGACAAAGTGGAATTACATCAATTAGAACCTGAAGAGGACAATTAAACCAACTTATTTTGCAGAAATTGCAAGGGGATTTCTCATTGCGCCAAGTGGTCAGAATGTGATATGGATGTGCTTGGTAACAAACCGCTTCTTTAGTTACTGATCCACTCCTGGCACAAGCCTTGCTACCCCCTTGAGGTCGTCTTGGCATGCAATGGCCAGCTCCAAGTGTTTTTAGCATCTGAGCAAGCCTGTTCCCATGACAGGCTGGGTAAGACAGGTTCCTTGAGGCAGTTAAATATATGAGAGAGGAAAATATTTAGTCCCTGCCATCTTTATGGTTAGATATTTTCCATTTTCCTCGAGCAACCAAATCAGATATGTTCCAAAGAATTTGTCATGGTTATGGATTGAGAAAACTAATAAGAAAAAAAAAGCCTCACACACTAACACAACAGTAACAGCCATATATAAAATACCAGCCTTTATATCTCTAGAGGAGTTTGTATGATTTGGGAATATTTCGCAATGCCTTCCCCTTCAATTTCAATATATAAAAGTATAACTGAAGACATGAGTCAAAACATGTAATTTTGTGTCTAGCTTGATAATAATCACTAGCCCGGTAAACTGGGCCTAGACATGCCTTACGGGGGCTCTCAATTCCAACTAGACACATATTCTACACACATTTCAACCCTATTGCAAAGACACCGAGAATACCCTCCGATAGTACTCACCCTAAAACAAGCGGGGACCATTCAGCATTTATGTTTCATTCGAGGGTGTGAGCACTGGGACAATCAGCAGAACTTTTTCTGATGACTGCATCTGAAAGAAACACACCAGAGGGACAGTAGACAGTAAGTGCTCTTAAGTAGCTTTTAGAGCAATCATATGTTAATTATAAAAGCCTCTATGTTAGACTCTACCTCCTTAACACGATCTTTAACGCATCTAGAGCCCTAACTATTTATATATGCTTGTTTCCTCTTGATTACAGAAAACTGCAGGCAGCCAATCTTTTCATTTGTGTTCCATTGTATTTTAGTGTGCCTAATACATATTTTTCTATTTTATTTAATATTACTGCCTCATATCATCTATTGAGAAATCGAAGTAGCTAATATAAATACATTATATTTTAAAACAACGCTAAAAAGTTTTTGAATGTGGAGACAGAGAAAAGTGGCCTTTGTCCCAATCTTATGGTTAATACCACAAAAATACATTTAAGATTAGCACTTTATTGGCACATCTAGCAGTTCAACAAACGATGGTATGGAGATAAGTTTAACTTTTCTATAATGCCATTAAAGTAAAGGCTGTATGCCTGTGTGAAAAGAAAAGAAATGCCAGCTGTCTGCACTGACGCTGCCAAAGAATCAAAAAAACACCTTTCATTTTTTTGGTCTGTTAAACTGGGACCTTTCTGAGCACTTAGGTATGATTCGTTGCCTACTGAAACCTCACCTTTTCTCCTTGTAAACTTCACTGGGCTTTGCATTAGGCCAATTGGTATTACTATAAAGTTTGTGATTGCCTAAATGACTGCATATAGCAAAATAACCTCACTGTATTATTAGCTGACTTCCGTAGTACTGCAGCACATTGTAGTAACCGGTGCTCTGAGTTGTAATTATCAGTCAAGTCAAATTCTCTAATCCTCTTTTTCATCTAAGTCATGGGTGGTTGCTTCAAAGAGATTGATGATGTCGGTGATAATAGGATGCATTGACTTGTGACTTCAATTTGGATCTTATCACTGAAAAAAAACAAACGGGAATCCAAGTTCTTATTTCAGTGTTTTCCTTCCCCCTTTTGTCTTTTAGATTCATAATGGTGGCTACTCTGAATTTCTCGTTGTCTGCTTTCTGTAGCAGACTCGCTTCTTCACTGTGATCTTTAAGAAGAAGCACTGAAATGCCTCATAATTTATACTCTAGAACAGTGACTTTTAACTGAAGATATGTGTATGGTAGAGGTATTCGAGTTTCTAAAGTCTTTGGGCAGACTTCAAACACATCTAAACCTGAATAATTAAAGCAGGAACAGAGTTTTGTTAATTCATAAGTGGAGGCTTTGCCTGGATAAATAAAAACTGGATACCCATAATCAAGAATAGGACAAGAAATATGGTTGAGGCATTTTTCTCCAAATACTAGTACTGGTTCATATGCTAAATTTCCAATCCATTTGACATACGTGGAAAATTTGGCTTTACCCGAGACCCTGGCTACATCTTTAAATTAAGAAACATGCAAAGGAGAGTTCTTAGAGTCAGGAAAGTAAAATGTTTTGCATGTCTTCTCCCCATAGTTCTGTGAGTCATATCTTCATAGCTTAGTAATCAAAACACAGTTTTATTGTTACCAGTATTTACAACTCCTCTTTGAGTTAATGACAATTGCGGCCTGCAGAAAAATTTTAAAAATTATTTGAAATTCTTTGATCTCCGATGTAACCAACCTTATTTACATCTTTGAACTGAGGGAGAGGAGCATGGTTAATTTTTTAATATTTTTTCCTATATTTGTTCTTCACAATTTCCCTTTTGACTACAAGAAGTACAGAACCTCCTCAAGAAAAAGTATCTTTATTTTATTTCTGGTCTCACTGAAACCAAAAAGTAATGTAAACCTCACTTCAAAGTCTCATTAAATTGCCATCTGGATTTCCAGACCAGAAAGGTTTGGAAATGTTGAGCTAAACTGCAGATAAGCAACCAAATTACTGGATGCTTCTCCAAACTAAACCTCTGAATCTGTTAACTCTCTTTCCAGAATATTTTCTCTACTGATGTGTAAAACACAAAAGTATTTCATTTGCACATAACCAGTTAAACTTGCAGTGCTAGCAGATCATTAAAAAAAAAAAGAAAGGGTGTATTTATGGAGGGAAAGGGCCTATTCTCTACTGCAGCAGAAGAACATAAAGTCAAAAGAGCATAAAGAAACCATGGAACTGTTACCTCATGAACACAGTTACAAAATTTTTTTGGAAGCAAGCTGTGTCAATATGGGACACTGAGATGATTAGGTCCAGAATGAATAAAGGCATTCATAGATCATAAATAGTTTCTAAACTTTAAGAAAAAGTCTACAACTGATCCAAAATAATAAGCCAAGTACGCAATACAGCCTACATATGTTATCTTTCCTTTAGTTGCTGTATGGGTTGTTCCTGCAAGGTCATTGCATTTCTCTCTAACGTTAATTACCTTTTGGGACTGGAGGAAGTGATCCCTGTCCATAAAATACTCTGGGAACCTTGTAAAGTGATATATTTTTATTACTTCTCTCATTCTCACCCTCTGCTCTGATGCCTATAACAAATTTGGCAATAAATATTGCCTTGGGACACAGGATTAGTCAGCGAATGCTTTATAGGCTAGAATGAAAAAGAAAAGAGAAGATGGTTTCATGTTGACATAGCGCACATTTTACAGTATCCTTCTCCAAACTTGTGCCCCTTATGCATTAAACTTGCAGATTTATTCCACAGTAGGGTGAAATCCTGGCCATCCATTGAAACTATCAGCAATACTGTAGTTGCCTTGAACAAAGCCGTGATTTCACTGTATCTTTACAAGCACCTATCTCAGTTTGCATATCGTAGTCTTCAGCGCATGTAGGCTTCCACTGTAGAGTATACTGAACCAAAGTAATATTTTGAGGATTAAAAAAAAAAAGGTCGCTTTAAAATGACAGATTTGATGGACAGAATATTATCCAAAAGCAACAAGTCCATACATAAATATATTTATTACCCTGCGGTGTGCCAGAATGATATCTTTGCAGTCCTTCCTTCCTGATGTGAAAATAAAGTGTTAATCACAGAATTTTCAGTCTTTCCAGGTTTTAGAAAAGAGGCAAAAGACCATCCCATAATGTATTTGGAGCAAATGACATTGATAATCAAAATTATTTTTCAATTAGCATATAAAAAGATTCAAATTTAGATTAATGTAACCCATTTCATGTTTTACAGGAAATATTGATGAAGCAGAACGAGAGTGGAAAACAGGATTCCATCGCTGGAACAATTACATGTCAGACTGGAAAAATCAATTTAATGATTACACTAGCAAGAAGGAGAGATGTGCAGGCTCTAATTAATATGTTTACCCTTTCCAGTATGTCCGTATTACTGTTCATCAGGCAAATATACAGGTAGCTTTCTAACACATCTAGCATTAAATATGTTATGCAGATTAAAAAATGTTATAGATATTTTGATTCCCCAGATCTTTCATTTATATTTTACCTCATATCTCAATAAACAATATAAGGCATCTGTACTCTTTGAAGCTTCACTATGTTAAATAGGACTATAGAGATTAAAGTCTGAAGATTAATGATGTACATATTATAAACACTAGCTGCTTAAATTCACACTTCAAAGAAACAATGTAATCTGTCATAGAAAAATGGATTTTTTTAAATAGAAATAGCAGTGTCTTACAGTATTGCCATGCAAAACACAATTGGTTTTGATCTTTAACTGCAATGCCACCGCACTTAAACCTTGCTTCAGACACAATTTAATTGACATAAACATAAAGAGATAACAACTTTGCTGGACACACCAAATGATATTTGCTTGTTAGACCAAAAATTTTTAAGACTGCCATTAAAGCCCAAATCATTGCTTCTTTATGGCCAAATCTGTAGGACAAAGCCATAGTAGGAGAGTATTCAAACTATGTACTGAAGGCCTAAATCATCAGCACTCTGTGTGCAAATGCAATAGTGAAACAAGCCAGAAAAACTGATACCTCTGCTATCCTCATTTTTCAAGGAGTAAAGACCTATGGATTCACAAAGTAATGAACTCTCAGTTTTCCCTGCTCAGGCACCCACTGTCTTCAGCTGGTGAAAGTCCCTACTATGGAGGTAAGCTTCAATTATGATGTATTTTGTCCATCAAGTTGCCTCCCAGTCAAGGGACAGCCCCACATTTACCGGAACACGACAGACAAGGTTTTATACCTGCAGAAGAGCATTGATCTGCATGTCGGCAGGTCCATCAGAAATCAGCCATGAAAGCCCTGCTCAGCCAGCCAGCTCTCAGCAGAAGAGTGGGACCTGGCCACAAAGCCCTTGCTTCTCTCGGGGAAGTCTGGGAAGCATATCACTGCAGAGGGTTATTGTGACCTTGGTGGGAAGGATCCAGCTCTTTGAGATGGTCAAGTGAGGTCCAGTTGCCATGCAAGTAGGCATCTCCTGGATTCCTTTTTACCTACTCCAGCTGAATCAATTAGAAGCTTCTAAAAAAACCCTTGGATAACTCTTCTTCCTACTTCTCTGCTTCTGGATGGGGTTAGAAGTTGTATGCCTGAATAACACCTTAATTGGCTGCTTTTCACTGGCCCAACTGGGAAGAATAAATACCAAAAATTTGATAAACATAAGGAGTATGTAAAAGCAATAACTCATCTCATAAATAAGTTATCCTGAAGCTTTCTGTAAATGTAATAGCATTTCAGTGCATCTATTTTCTGTTCTAGTTATTGTGAGCTCTTGCAAAATTCCTTCTCAAATTGAGTAGACTGAAGAGATCTAGATATTGAACAGAGAGTGTTCTCTTTCTGGCAATCAGTTTGACTGCACAGGATCCCTACACTGAAAGGATTTATTTTTGTAGAAAGGCCAAATTCTGCAACAGACTACGGCTTATCACCTTTTCAGTTATTTCTAAGAGAATACAATTATTTCCTGACTGAATTATGGAAAACCACCTTTTAGCACAGTATTTCCAAAGACTACAATCAAACCTATACAACCAAAAAAAACCTGGTCATTTTTGAGCAAGCTGATTAAAATTTGAGATTATCTGGGATTAAAAAGCCTTCTTTATGCAGCACTTCACGTTTATACCACAGGTAATTAACTGATTACATACATTAGCACGGTTACTGCTATTAACAGTCACATGGAGAGCTATGTCAGTCTACAGCGTATTGGGTATTTATCGGCTATTCCTCAAGCAACTGATGACCTACTGAAAAGAAACACAGAAGGATGGACTTTCTGTCCATCATTGAGCCAGTTCTGGTACTCCCCATTTTATTTATGTGGTGTGCTTCATAGACATGTTGGGTGCTGATCTACCACAGTGAGCCTTGACAGCACCAGCAACACCTGAGCATGTTTAAAAGAAACATTTGTCTCTTTTGATATCCTCTTCTTAGCTATATTTCACTATCTATCTGTCTAATCAGCCTAATCAATGGGAAAAAAAAATCTGAGCTAATTAAAATACACAGATAACCTTTGGGAAGGGCAGGTTGCAAAGCAGTTTATAAAATATTTTGCTTGGAAGATGTCCTTTGTCTGTATGTGCTGTGAGCTAGGCTGGATAAGGTCTATCTGAAGACTAATACTCTTTCCACAGTATGCGTACCATGCCTGTGACGTTCTTAAGAAGGAATAAGGATGGAGGGAAGAGGAAAGAAAAGCAGAATAAAATAAAGGTTAAACCACTTTTTGAAGTGTGGTTTTACTGATTTTCTTGGCGTGAATAAATTGCTAGCTTTGTATTTTTTTCATATGCTGGGAAATAATATCTCCATTTATCATTCATATGAAATCAATATATCATGTAGTCATATATTCATATCCCACACTTATGCAAAAACAGGAAAGCCTTAAGTACTTGGATGTAAGCGACTAAAGTAATGAAGAGTGAAAAAAGACCAGTCCCCATTGTGGGTAGCTTCAAACTGAAGGTCAAACAAATTTATGCCAGAAATTGTTTGAGGATACTGTGTCATTGCTTAAAATGATGATTACATATTAGAGGGATATCTCACCCAGACCTCACTGAAGATGTAATGTTGTTAATTAATGTTTTCTTTTGGCTCAAAAGAGGCAAGAAACCAAGGTTTCTCTGTGAAACCAGAGAAAATGTGTTGATTCTTTCTTACCATCCTTGATATCCGAAGCAGGAATTCTGAATTTAGTCCCAGAGTTGCTGAAAGATTATAATAAAATGAACTGCAGTGCCAACAAAAATGTTGGCATTAAACCAGTTGTCATTAGGTTTATAAGCTAACAGCATACTGATTAAATTACAGACATTTCACACATATTCTAGAGATAGTCATAAGAGGACTGAAGTCAGAAATTTCCCAGCAAAACTCTGTTTAATTAAAACCACCAGGTTTTGCATTTTAAATGTTTTGTCTAAAGGAATTTGTGTTAGATAAGCTTTCAGTAAAGTTAAGCATTATTTGAGTGAAATCCCATCTCTGCTCCTGCTGGAGTATCAAAAACTGAAGGAGTTGGGATGTTCAGGGTACCTGGTCTAGGGCACCCTGGTCTGCATAGCTGGACCAGCCAAGGTTGAAGCTTTCTGGCTTTGAACAGGTGCCCTCAAACCCAAAAGTTTTCTCTAGCAGAACTAAGACACCCCCCACCCCCCCAAAGTTTCCAGGCTTCCTCCCAATTCCAGATTTTGCACTCATAGCTTGGATTTTTGGGACGGGTGCTCAGACCTTGCTGTTCTAAGCCCTGGCCATCACTCTAGGTTTATCATACTGATAAAGCCAAATTTCTGTTTAAGTGGAAGCCTGGCTTTTTGGCCCCTTTTGGTCACTAGAGGCTCAGGCTATTTATAGAGCAGAGATTACTGCTCTGTAAACACACAGATATACGTGCCCAATTTAGATCTTCATGAATAGACAACTCATATGCGTCTTTTAATAGAGATTTGTCTCTGCTTCTTGCTATCAGCTCATAGTTGGGAGGGTTTCTTTGCCACATAATAATTAAAAAGGATTTATGTTGCTTATTTTAAGTAGAGTGTTGGAGAGAAAGTGATCTTAGATTATGAAAAACTGATGGAACTTCAGAAAAATGTATATATGTTTCATGATGTATAAGCTTAATATGATCTCTGCAGGCCTCTCTAATATTCCTATCACAGCAGATCATCAGCAAGTGATTTGGCCCATTGTTATATGCAGATATCATAGATTAATCTGAACGTAACATTAACAGTGGAGAGATATATATTTGTCTTTGTCAACACCATAACATTGTCTTCTCAGGCTTGACTATGGTTCATGCATTTCTACTGGCTCAGCACCAGTTCTGCAACATCATCAACAGCTATTTAGGGGAACATAAATGTCACAGTACTTCAGTTACACCTGCAGCATGTCCAGCTAGTAAAAAGTAACCTGTGCTGCCACTGCCAAATGCCAGCCTGTCTACAGAGGGCTCTTGCTCTTCCTTCCCTTCCAGTTGGGGGAAAAAAAAAAAAACCAACCCAAAAACCAACACCAAGAGAAAAAAAAAAAACACCAGGGGGGGAAGACCATAAAAACCCCAGACAAGCACTTTTGTCCTAGAATGATCAACAACTGAAGGGTTTAATACTGTACACAGAGGTACTAAGTAACCCAGTGTCTCTGTTTCAATAACTCCAGCCAAAAAAACCTCCCACTGAATTGCAAAATAAGTTTAGGAATTTGACAGTGATTCAGAATATGGGGTGAGGAACGAGACTGGCAGGTTTGGCTCAGGCTTGGGGGCTGCTATGGAAAGTGCTAGTGCCAGCTGACTACTTTCTCACTATCTTTTCCAATCCCTGGAACTACGGGCATTTGCCAAAAGCTCTGACTGCTCTTGGCTAGCCAGTGAGTCTAAAACCAAGCACCTGTGTAACAGATATGTGCCGTTGTATATGTTTACCATGGCTGATCCATCTGTAGCAGATGCCACATGCCTGTTGATTTACTCTAGGTGGATTGGGAGCAAGAATCTATTAAAAAAAAATAAGGTTCCTGGCTAAATTACATTTCTCTCTTTCTCATTGTTCTGTTTTTATTTGTCCTCATCTGTCTAAGGTTCTAGGTGGATTTTCCATTGCTAGGTGATTGCTGCTGTATGACGGTGAAGAAACTTTTTAAAAAAAAAAATCTCTAGCAAAATAGAAAATTTTAGACTATTTGATACTGTATCTTTGGGATCGACACGAGGTATTTGACAACTGTGTGCACACGGTTAATATTTAACAACCTTGACTTGGTTCTGTGAGCTGAGAGGACCACTCCTTTAAAATCACATGTCTCTTAGAGACTATGCATCCATCCATACATAGAAATATAGGTTCATAAGCAATTGCCTCTCAACAGTATGTTTCCAACCTTTGCAAGCAACATGGAGTTGGAGGCTTATACGTTATTGGGTTTGTATTTTCAAAGTGTATCTTTTTGGTCTTTACTGAGGAATAAAATGATCACAGGACTTTCTGATATAAATCAA